CGATATTATAACCCATCCAAGCATTTGTGCAATCATAAAATGGCTCGGAAGTGGTATAGGTATTTTGAATACTATGTTTATTACCTAAAATTGAAGTGATGTTGATGGCTTCAAGATCAGAGATTGATATTTCATAATAGCTAAATGATGTATAGAATAACATGTAACGAGTCCAAGAATCATCATTTGGGATGGATGGCTCCCATTCATATTTACGAATGGTTTCATCATAACCATGATTTGTACGATAGACAGCATCCTTCATTGGATAACCCATTTGAGTTTGAGCGCCAGTTTTTGGGTCAGAGTAGGTGAAGTGTTATCAAAAAGATATAATTGGTCTAGTTTATCTTTAATTAAATTTCCATATCTATTCTTATTTTTTTGATAAATGATTTCTTGTTTTGTTGATTGAATCGATAATTGATCATTGTGGATTGTATTTTCTATTTCATATTTTTTAATATCTAGATATTGTTAATATGTTCCGAGTTATTTCCCAAAACTATTAGAATTTAAATTTGTTAATAATTTAATAATTTTGGAAATTTATAAAGGTTTATTTAGGAAATTAAATAAAAAAATAAAAAATTATAGTTTTAATGAAAGAAAATTATAATTTTACTTTTCTTTCATTTTTTTAACCTCTTTTCTTTTTTAACAAAAGTTTATCTAACTTTTTTACCTGTTTTCAATATATTTCAACAAATGTGATGAGTTTATTATGAATACACCATAAATAAAGAAAATAAGAAGTATATGAATTATTATTATATGTAAAAATATTTATAACTGAAAAAATAAGTATTCTGGTGATTATAGAACTGAAGGGTGTAATTTTTAAAGAATAAATTTAAATAAAAAAAATAAAAAAATAAAATAAAAAAAAAATTTATTTAAAAAAATAAATTTTATTATTTAAAAAATAACAAAAATATATTTTGATTGATGTTTATTATCTAATAGGGGAAAAGTTTTTTTATTAAAATATAAATGAAAAATAAATTATATGCAGTGGGAAATGGGTGAAAAAATTATTGTAATTTTAAAATTAAAAAGGTTATTTTTTAATATTAAAAAATAATAATAACAAATAAATGAATGTTTTATTTCTTTTATAATAAAATGTGTAAATAAATATAAATGATAATGTTCCCATGTTTTATTTATAGTTTAAAATGTTTTTTATATATTTTTTATTTAAAAAAAAATAAAAATAAAATATGTAATAAATATTTTTGTTTATAAATATATAAAAGATTACTAATTAAACTAGATAATTATTAATAAAAAATAAAACAATTCATATAAAATACAATAATTTTTTTTAATAATTATGAAGTCGAATTTCAAAAATTAATAATAAAATTAAAATAAAAGTAAATTAAAAATAAATTTTCATTTTTAATTTAACTAAATTTTTTTATAAATAGATAATAATAATATTTATTCTTCAGAATTAAACTTATAAAGTATTAAAATATATAGAAATAATATTTGAAATTAATTAATATTTTTTTTTAAATCATTTTTTTACAATTAGCTAGGTATTCAGGATATCATTTAAGAGAGAATTTAATGAAATTTTTAAATCAAAATATAGAATAAATTATTATTCTCAATTTAAAACTATAAAAATAAAATAAAACCTATACAGCTATATCAAATTAAATAAATATAAATTATAATAATTTAATAAAAACATTATTAAACAATTGAATATTTTTTAATTTATTTTTTAATTTATTTTAATTAAAAAATTTATTTTTTTTTAAAAATTTTTAAATTTCTTTTTTTTTTTTCATTTATTAAAATTAAAGTTTTCATTCACTCACACTCATTTTTTTACATCCATCTTTTATTTTTTTATACATTAAATCATATAATTTATTTTTTTATTTTTTACACTTATATACATTTAATTTTATTTTAAATAATTATTTATTTTTTTAAAAAAAATGATTCATATTTTATTGTGCATTTTTTTATTTATTTTTGTTGGTGCAATTTTTTATTATTGTTTCGGAAAGTTCATCTTCAAGAAAAACAACCGTTGCCGTTGCCGTTGCTCTACCATTAAAGGGGAATACTGCCATCATTGTGCCTTTAATTCCGATTTCAGGGATAAGGTATATGTAGAAAGTCTACATCTTGGATACGATCATAGAAACTATCGTGACAGACTAGACGGAATACACTCACTTGAAAGATTTATGCTCTATGATGAACAAGTACAACAAAATCTAAGACTATACCAACAACAAACAAGACAACAACAACAACATGAACTACCATATCAACAACAAATGAACCTAGAACATCACCAGATAATGCAACTACGTCAACAACAACAACTAGAAAAACAACAACTATACCAACAACAAGAACAAGAAAGACAAAGACAACAACAACATCAAAAAATTCAACAAGAACATCTATTTTTTCAAATTCAACAACAACATCTACAACAACTAGAAACAACTACATCAACAAAAGCTACAAAGACTACAACAACAAAAAACAACAACATTTTTTTTGGAGATACTTTTAAGTAATAATTATTTAAAAAAAATTCTTTAGTTGATGTAATATTAGTTGTACCGAATAAATGTGTATGTGTGCTTATTCTAGGTAGTAAGTCAATTAAAAACAAGATAGAATCAAATCAATAGAAAATTAAAAGTAATTAATGAAGAGTTCAAGTAGTTGTTTGTAATTAATGTGTTAAACCATCTCGTTGTATTTGCTAAAGTAATTCACCATTCATTGCCACCGTTGGTTCTCAAAGATGATAGAAAGACATGTTTCGCTATAGAGTAGTTCAGTAAAAAGAAAAGTATTTGTGCAATTCCAAAAAGAGTTTTGAATATTATGGAAGTAGAAATAGATCGTTTATTAAAAGCAACTCCAAACAATATTACCCAATCATTTTTTCAATGGTAAAATCACAATTTGCTGATTTAAACTCATTGAAATCAAATTGATAATCAAGTTCAAGATTTTGATGATTTATCAGTTTCATCACCATTATAAGAACCAGAAAAGAAAATAACATTTTTCAAATAACTATAATAATGAATCATCAGCTTCAGAAAATTTACAAGAAGAACATGAAGAAAAATCATCACCCAGCATCACCAATTGACTCATCATCTTAAATACAAAAAGAAAATATTCATCGTACTGGCTATGTACCAAAAGTTGTAAGAGCTCAACAATATAATAAAGATGAAGATGAAAATGAAGAAGACCTTTTAGATTTTGAAACGGATTAATATTGAAATCGAAGGCGATTAAATTAATAGTTTTGATAATTCATTCTATATTTCTTTTTAAGAAATAGATGAAGACCAAATTATTAATAAAATCGTTTCATTCTATGTTTCAATTATTAAATCGTTAAATTTAAAAAAATCAACTTCATCATCCAAGAAACAAATCACATCTTTATCAACATTTCTAATAAGAATAGCTCCAGTTCTTCCACAAGTAGGGGTCAATTGAAAAGAAGAAATAGATTTTAAAGTGACATTATCCAAAGAAAAAGCAAAAAGGGAAAGATGGAATAAAAAACAAAATTAACACCTCAAGTATTGGATATGCCGTAGTTTGTATTATTAAAACTATTTATGTGTATGTTTGTTTGTTGTATTTTAAAAAAAAAAATTAAAAAAAAATTAAAAAAAAATTAAAAAAAAAAAATTTTTGTAAAATTATTTATTTTTAGATTTTTTTTTAATTTTATTTTAATTTTTTTTTATTTTATTTTTTTCGATTTTTTTTTTTTTTTAATTTTTTTTAATTTTTTTTTATTTTTATTTTTTTCGATCACAACAAACAAACACAAACATAAATAAATAATTTTAATAATGTAAACCATAGCACATCCAATAAATAATAATAATTTTAACATTACTGAAAATATGTTTAAAGCCTTTCGAGAACAAGTAAGTAAATTAATACATTATTTTAAAACAACAATAACAACAAACCCATATACATAGAAAATGGCATCGTTGAGGAAATATAGAGAATAGACGCAGAATTACTAACATAAATTAAATTAACTTTTATTAATATTCAAAAGGCATATTTACCAATTAAAACCATTCAATACCCCCAACAGTATCTGCTGTCGTCGATATCATGAATGAAAGGATTTTAATCAATAATATAAAGATTTAGCATATATTTACAAATGCACAGCGAACCTATTAAAAGAGATTTTATAATATTTACAAATAATAGTAAATACTGCAAACATAATAATAATCTCAAATTAATATCAATAACTATCATAAAAAGTCACAAAGTCGCAGAATTTTTAAGTCTTTCAATCTCGAGGAAATCATCTAATAGCTAAAAGTGAATATTAGAGTTTGGCCTACCCGAAATCTTTTCAGTATTAGGTTATGAACCATTATCAAAACAGGATTTTAGCAAATAATTCCAAAAACCAATCAAATATATTTAAATACCCCAATATTAGTCATCTATATATATAAAAAAATTAATTAACTTGGTAAATCAATAATCAGTCCTCAGTTATTAGAAGTCTTTAAGAAATTTAATATTAAAACATATTATAATAATTAATAGTTAAAAATCAATATACTGCTAAACCAAAAGCAGTCCTCAATAAGAAATAATAGTCACACCCAAACATCACCAAATTCAAGTTAAAGAACAACCAAATCCAAAACCTAAACCAACTCTTCCACCAGTTTTTGAAAAACTACCACAACCAGAACAAATTCCTGTACCAGTACCAACACCAGTATTTATTCGTGCAACAACAGGATAATAGCTCAATATAGGGTCAATTTGGATCAAATAATGTATCAAGATTGAAATCTTTTAGCCCAACAACAAACAATGATACAACAACAACAATTATCGCAGCAACAGCAACAAAATTATATTATTTATGAAACAATAAATAATATAAAAAAAGAGTTTTCAAATGGTTTTGATAGGAATGATGATCAAAGGTTAAAAAGTTACAATTACAATTTGAAGAGTTAGGCAAGCAGTTTGAAAAAGAATGTACAGAGATTATAGATTTACAATTAAGAAATGCTATTGGAAGCAAAGGTAGATCAGGATCATTGTCAATTAACAGTAGATGTAATAGTAAGAGATCAGGATCATTCGTTGGTAGAGTGCAACCAGTTGTACAACCGCATCAAGAATACAGTAACCAAACCACACAGGAATTGCAATTACAAACCAATCACCACAACAATCTTCTCCCATGGGTTACATTTGATGATAATGATGTCCCAACAATACAATGTTCAACTAGTACTCCACCTGACCTCGAAAAGATAGAAGCTAATGTCATTGTTGATAATGCTGCATCACCACCAAAGCCACAAACTGCCAATAGTAATGGAGCTACCGATAGTCAAGGCAAAACCAGAGTTATTACTAAAATCTTCATAGAATCGAAGAGTTGGAAAACTTTTACAAGAAGGAATTGATAAAAACAAAGCATTAACATTGAAACTCGTAGAACGTGAAGCACTGCTGCAAGAAAGAGACTTCAAGAGATGACAAGCATTAACGCCAACTATACAGCCGAAGTACAAAAATCAACTTTGTGAACAATTAATTTCCATTAGAGATTGGAAAGAACTTCAAAGACTTTTAAGTTTAGAAAAAGAGTTTGGTACTATTAATGGTAATGTTTCTCAATATCTTCAAATAATTTAGGTAATCTAGAAGCAACTCATCAAATGGTAATCAAAGATCTTTTACACCATATGCAACAAGCCAATCGCTTACATGAACTTTGTTATCAAGAGGGTGATGATTTAGAAATGGATATTTTCGCCGCTGTCAATTCAGTTTCAGATTCATTAAAAGATTTATTACATGACTCTAAAGGTTCCTCAAGATTAATTGTAGATCCGGAATTACAAAGTAAATTTATGGATGCATCTAGAAAAATTGGTGCACTCACTCAAAATCTATTTGAAAGTGTACGTCTTCAATGTGGTCAATGTCAAGATGATGATCGTAAGAGATTTGCAAATAATTTAGCTTCATATAAAGGTGGTGGCAATGCATTGGATGCATTAGCTCAACAAGCCGATGCTGACAGAATCGAAAAAGAGAAGAAATATTTAGAGAGTGGTTTCGAAAGAGAATGATTGGCTGCTGCGTCAAATATTGTTGCATTCCTTTGCCAAATCCAAATTATATTTGGTCATCCAAAAGTTGGAAATACCGATAGTTCAAAATCTATTGCTATGAAATTACCTGGAGTTACTGATTTATTGGTTTAAAATAAAAAAATTATGGAAAATAAGGTTCAATCAAGTGTCAATGTAGTAAAACCTTCCTATAATAATAATTCAAAGAAATATAAATATTTAGAAGACCTAATTACATTCAAAAAAAGGTTTCAATAGAGTCACATGTTTCTTTAATTACATCAATTAAAAAAAAAAAAAAGTATTTTATACTATTAGTTTAATTTAAAAATAATAATATAAATAATTTAAAAAAAAATAATAAATAAAAAAAAATTATTTATTTTTATTTACTCTCTTGAGTTCTAAAATTATAGTTTATTTTCTTTTTCAATACGTTCTTTATCTATTCTTTCTCTTTTTTAGGTTGATGCTCTTTTAACCCTGTATAATTGTAAACTGGTGAAACATTTGATGAAAAATTAGATTTGGTAGAATTATTTTTAAAATTTTCTCTGTGATGACATATTACTATTTTAGCCGAAATAAATTTTTATCCTAAAACAATTAAATGTCCAATGGATTGGCTATATGATAGTGGATCGAAAAATCAGGGCATATTTGATTATTAAACTATATACATCCTTTCTTCCATATAAAACTGATTGAGAGTTTATTGAATGG